AAAATATGGAAATCACGTGGTGCTACATCTGGACTCTATGTTGGATGGGATAAAGCAGTGAGATTCAAATTGCCTCTTGCATGGCTCATGATATGTGAGGACATTATCATGTTTCTTCCTGTTTCCCAACTCTGCTTCACCATTGTTCAAGGGTATTGCAGTGTAGCACTCTAAGTTGAAAGCGGTCTCAAGTTTAAAGAAATCTACGAGACTTTGCATCTGAATCCTAAACGTAATGTTTTCCTGCTAAAGCCTGTGTTTATTTTTTTTTCACATATGAAGGGTTTGTAATAACATTTATTGGACAAATGATTCATTTCTCTTTAATGATGATGACAGCAAGTTTTGTCACCTGTCATGATTCCCGGGAAGAAATTGTCCACCGTTATTTTCATAGTATCACAGCAATTGTTGGCAAATTTTGACTCTTGAAAGTTTCATCTGCACCGTGAGCATGCAAGAAGCCCATCTGATAGTGAAGCCCATCAATAATGTGATCCATACTTTCCAGGGAAAGCCAAGCATAAAAGCTATTTCCTTTTGAGAGATCCCCTGGTTATCCTTAACTAGTTCACCAATCTGTCCTCAAAAAGAAATATTAATGTTAAAGTGACCCCAAAGCACCACTTTGCAATTCCAGTATTGCACCAAACATAATTATCATTAAGAAAGATATTCTAGATACAATATATAATGTGTGATACATTTTATATTCATAAAATGCTTTTCTTTATCTTCTGAAAACTGAGAAATATCCTCTTCTAGGTGTTAAGAGTGTTCTCTTATGACCCTTTCAAGGTTTTATAAATACTATGAAGGAAAAGCCACAAAAATCCAGTAATTATATATTCAGATGAATTTTCATGTGACTTGGGACACATAATATTTTTAGTAAATAAATGTGATTCTAACAGTAAAATTATGAGTAAATTGCTTCATGCAACCCCATTATACATCACATTTTCCAATGAGTATTATATAGGTTTATATATTATACAGAAAGCCAAAATATCCCTGACTTGAGGTGAGTGATTATTTGCACAGCTTCATTTTTCTATTTTGGAGGAGACTATAAAGCTAATCTCAAATTATCCTAGATGACTTTATACTCTAAGAGCTCCTGCCCCAGGTCAACATTTTAAATGAAGTTTTCCATCTTCATGGATTTACCTGTCTAACTGATTTTAAATAAGCAAAGGGGTTTCATTCATCACTTTTCTCAACTCAACAGTATGGATTATAAGGGAGTATGTAGAGTATATAGAAATCCCTGCTCTCTTTGTAAGGTTCTTTATGGTTTTTAACTGACTTCTTTAAGGAACAGGATGATGGAAGATATCATTTTTAGTGCAATGCACCATATGGATGGAAGTACTTTTATAATGGACTTACACCATGATTTATAGAATAGTTGTATTATATATTATTGGTTACTGGTTACCATAATTGGGGCATACCAGGGGTTGTGACACTAAATATATATCTACCTCCCTGGCTTCAGCTGATAAGGAGGAGGACCTGTGGCTCAATGGTTAAGACATCTGCCTAAGATGCAATACAGCACAGGTTCGAATCCCAGTAAGGGTATGGCTAGCTGATGAGAGCTAAATAGCTTGAAATAGATCTATACTAGTCTCCCTTTATTTATTTATCAGCACAAATACAACAAATGTAACAAAGGCAACAGTAAAAATATTGGGTTTCTGTCGTGATGGACTCTTGTGACGAGCTGATAGACAGATAATGGAAGCAGTTAGCTTCCTCCCATAATATATATAATGTTCCAGGATCTCTGAAAGATATAGTTCAATGGTTCTGAGATCTCATCTGCCAATTCCTTCAGAACCTGGGGTGTAATCCATCCGGTCCCGGTAATTTGAACTCGTCTAGGGTAGACAGGTGCTCACTTACCATTTTATTCCCTATTTCAATTTGTGTTCCTAATCTGATTTTTGTGGTGCTGTTTTTGATAGCTTGGACTGTTTTATCCCTTTGCTTCCTGTTAAAATCAAACAAGTTAATACAATAAAATCCCAGTTAATTTGTAAAACATTTGATATAATTGGTTTTTATCTACTCAGTTTGAAATGCTGGAACATTCAAGGAAACATTGCATATATAAAAGTCTGCCTTTGAGATTTTAACTTTTGAAGAGTTCTTTAAGTATTATTCTTTGAGTGACATGTTAAGTAAAATAAAATTACAATGTCTTTTTAAATATATTCTTTATTTAGAAAGAACAAAAGCCTCTGCAGTAAATCTGTGACTTGAATGAAATAGGAGTAAGATGAAAAAAATATGTAGAAAGACAAAAATTATTATACAATGGCAGAAAATGCAATCTTTTCTCAACCCTTTCCCCCCAAAAAAAAACCCCCAAATATTTTCCTCCACTTTTGACTCTCTCTGAATGTAGCACACAAAATCAAGAGATATGAGAATTGATTAGTGTAAAAAGATCTGAGATATCTTAAGAGTTTACTTTTCTAGAGTTGCTCCAAATAAATCTATAATTGTTACCACTAAAAATGAAGAATGAAGAAACCAGTAAAGATTACAATAATAAATCACAGAAACCAGCATCTAGGAATGATCAGGAAAAACACAGAGAAATATATCATAGTCAGATGTTTGATAGTGGCAGCTTGAATTTATATTTCTGATCAACCATGACCTTGGAACAGATATTTTCAATATTCATCTTGTTTTAAAAAAATGGAATTGATCAAATGAAGGAAACATTTAACACTTATTTATTTTTCCCGAAAGACAATGAGTCAACAACTAATACAGGAAAGAATTGGGGGAAATAATTTCAAATTTTATAGTCCATTAATAGTCCATTTCTGTTTTTTAAACCTCACAGATATGTTTTATCTTTAGAAAAGTTTTCAGTAATACAGATGAATTGGGAAACAGACACTGAATAAACAAGTAATAATCAGTCATAGTAAACTGGACATTTTGGAATGTCAATTCTCACTTTCAGACAAGCATAACTAATATTACTGACTACAACTCAGTATATCTTGTTATACTTAACTATTATTTGAAGCTAAAATATTTATGCCTATTATTTGGTAATAGTCACTGCTTTAAATGCTATATTAAAATGCATATACAGATATAAAATAATTGTGACTCATAAGAAGTCCCACGGTGTTATATGCAATCAATGGCCAATATCTAAGCTTTGACATGAATAGAATTTGACATGGTGACATAAATGATGCCACCTGACCCTTCATGAGCAAAGGATTTGTACAAATGATTAGCTGCCCTAATGAGCCTCCATGGAATACAGTTGTTATATTAGGATTCTAGTTAGTAGCTGACTTTTTTTTTATTGAAATTTTTATTGAAACTGACATTCAAAGAGGACTGGAATGTCAATTCCAGAGAATTCCAGAGAATTCTAGACAGATTTTTTTTTAAAAAAACAAACAAACAAATTGAAGTTCAATGAATGGTTAGTTCTTTAATAATAGTAATAATTTATTAAATTTGTATGCCATCAGTGACTCAATGGTTACTGTAATTATATAACACTACTTATACTCAATATGTAATAAGCTTGAGTATCTCTAACCTTTCATTTATCCTTGGTTTATCAATACAAATGAATGCCAGCACAGCAGCACATAGTTAAGTGCATACGAGAAATGGAACACACCACAGCTGAAGGATAATTCTTCAAGCACCAGTGCAGAGTCATAATAAATTGATGATATTTTTGTTAATGGAAAAGTTTTATGACAGCACATTTTTATTGAAAGGAAGAAAAAAGTTTTGTTAAAAAAAATCACTATTCCATGTTTGCCCACTAATTAAAATCATTATGGTACTTTCATTAACCTCCAATGTTTCTCGAATGAAAATGGGCATAACAAAACTATTTATTTATAGTTGGAAGAAGGTGTAAACTGTAATTGTGTTCTGCAGTCATCTCAAGTGACTAATGCAACATAGTTTTCATCGAATGGCTTTTATTTTACTTTAATTAATTTGTTAAATTTCCAAATATTTATCCATATACTGCCCAACTCGAGGCTATCATAAAGATGTTTATCCAATTTTTTCTTGTATTAAGCATCTTTAATTGTTGTTTTTTTCATGAGAGTCCCAGTTTCAGTGTGTTAAAGGAACATAAGCATTTTTGACAGCTTATTGTGTATTTATTCAAACAGATATGCACAGTTTCCTGTTTTAAAAGTTTCAAACAAATCATAAAAATGATAAAATTAACATAAGCATTGAATTGTATTATGTGTTTCTCTCCTTTCGTTGTGAATGAATAAGTTGCATGTGCTAAATTGTAGGTCATGTAATCAAGAGGTAGGAATAGAAGGATAGAGAAGTCAGTAACATCTTGAATGTTTCCCAGTTGCTACCCCTCAAAAATACACTGGAAGATAACAGAACGATGCAGTTGGAAGGGAATTTAGCCTGGATGTTTTCTAGTCCAACTCCCTGCTCATGCAGGAGATCCTATACCATTTGTGACAAATTACTATCTAGTCTCTTCTTAAAGGCCTCCAGTGATGGAGCACTCACAATTTCTGAAGGCAAGCTGTTCCACTAGTTAATTGTTCTAACCATTAGGAAGTTTCTCTTTAATTCAAGATTGCTTCTCTCCTTGATTGGCTTCTGTTGTGGCCCAGCAGGAGCCGTTGGAGCTGCCACCAGACTCCGACAGTGAGGGGCCTTATGAGTCAGCTCTGGAGGATGTGGAGGACCCTGGACAGGATTCCAACTCCGAGCAAGGCGCAGAGAGGCTGGTTGGCCACCAGGAGGCACCTGAGCTTTGGACCAGTGGGGAGGAGACAAGGGAGAGTGAGCCGGACGCCAGCAGTGAGTTGTTCCTGGATGCACAGCACCGAAGAGCTACTAGGCATCAGGAACAGTTGTGCAGTTACAGGAGATAATTGCACTCAGCTGGTGGTCATTAGGCTCCTCTCCAGACTATAAAAAGACTGCTTGTGCACANCCAGCCAGCATTGTGGCATTCTGGGAATTGAAGTCCACTCCTCTGAAAGCATTGAGAAACACAGTTTTAGATTCAATCCCCAAAGACAATCTAATCAGGTTGAATCGCATCCTTGGCTAGCCATGTAGATTGACTAGCCCGCCAGCTGTGGGACTTACCCGTGGTTGAAACATTGACCACATTACTGGGGTAACTGATGTAGCTACCGGCAAAGGCCATCAGACGGAACTCATAGAAGGTATCCTGTGTTGGAAAGGGAGAAGAATTAGCTGACGGACGTTAGGCCCGCCCGTCAAAGGGGACGCTATCTCACCATGATGAACAAGCAACAAACCAAGGCATTTTTTCTGCAAATAAAAATAAACTTTGGAGGAATAGGGCCAGCAGATAACTCTGAACTGGATAAAACACTCTCATTTTAAGGTTTATTAATGTTCTCAACCATAGCACTTTTAAGACAGGTGGACTTCAACTCCCAGAACTGCCTAAAAAAACATGCTTTAAGATGGGTGGACTTCAACTCCCAGAATTTCCAAAAACATGCCTTAAGACAGGTGGACTTCAACTCCCAGAATTCCCCAGCCAGCATGCTTTAAGATGAATAGACCTCAACTCCCAGAAACCCTGAGCCAGCATCTTTTAAGACAGGTGGATTTCAACTCCCAGAATTCCCTAAACACCATCCTTTAAGACGGGTGGACTTCAAATCCCAGAATTCTCTAGTCAGCCACAGGAATTCTGGGAATTGAAGTCCACACAAGCTTCAAGTCGCCAAAACTGAGAGACGCTGTGCTAAATAAGTACACTTTTCTCCGTGCAAATCCCACCCCCTCCAGGGGCTTGGAAAGCTAGAACTGGGATCAGACTCACCTTGATGAGTCCAGGCACCAGGAATTGGGTCTCGGAGCTGGGAATGGACCCACTCAGCACCTCCCACTTCCCCCGGTTCTGCCGCAGCTCCAGGGCATATCCCATCAAGGCCGAAGGATCGTGGAGCGGAGGTTCCCACAGGAGCAGGACCCCCCGCACGGTCTCGTTGGATCTCAGGAACTGGGGTGGGGGGAGGAAGACCAGGGAGGCCGTGGTTGGGAGGACGGGGGGCACAGTCTGAGTGGGGACACCTGGAAAAGGAAGAAGAGAACAGGGGGCTGCCTTGAGGAAGGACGCAGGCCTTCCTCCTTGGCTGACCCTTGCAAACTGGACTTTTAAGTCTCAAATATAGGCAGTCCTTGACTTATAACCATTCGTTTAGTCACCGTGTGATACAATACCACTGAAAAAAACCCAACCAGTTAGCGCACATGACAATTTCAGCATCCCTGTAGGTCACGTGATCAAGATTGGGGCGCTTGGCAGCATCCCAAAGTCACATGATGCACTGTGTGCATTCCTTCCTGGCTGGCTTCCAGCGAGCTAAGTCAATGGGGGAAGCCGGATTCGCTTAATGGCTGTGATTCACTCAACAACTGCAGTTAATTCGCTTAACAACGGTGGCCAGAAAGGTTAGGAAAAACTGGGTGCGACTCGTTTAAAAAAAAAACGCCTTGATTTAAGAATGGGAATTCTGGTTCCAAGTGTGGTCGTAAGCCGAGGACTGATTGACTGCCTTGCCACGTTGCTTGTTATGTGGAGATAAGCCACACTGGCATGGTGCAGGATGTTTGCCTGCACCCTAAGAACGATGTCAGAAACCCCTTGGCACGATAAACACATATCCAACATAAAGGCTGCAGTAGTAAGGGAAGTAACGAGTGATCCGTCAATAGGGGGAGCTGCAGGAAAGATTCCACAGTCCTGCGTAAGCGGGATGGGTGAGAAAGACTCCTCCCACTGCCACCACCGCACGCTCAGGTGAGTAGCGGAGCTATTCCCTCCCTGCATCCAGCGCCAGTGGCTGCTCCTCCCTGTTCCCAGGGTGAAGAGCAGGTCGCATGACCGAATTGGCAGGGAGCCGCAGGAGAGGGCTCAAAGAGCCACATATGGCTCCGGAGCTGCATGTTGCCGACACCTGGGATAGTTAACACAGCCTCACATCCTGTGCAAAGCAATTATAGCTTCTCACCCAGAGGCGCGATGGAGATGATTTCGCTGAACGGACCACTGCCGAGTTTATTCTGAGCCAAGACGCTGAACTGATAGCTCATATCTGGCTGGAGGTTCTCCACCAGGATGTGGGAAGCCCCCACAGGCACCGGCAACGAGGCCCAGTCGTGGTGGGGCCGGTTCAGGCGTCTCAATCTACGGTTCAAACAAACAACGTGCGTTACAGAAGGACACTTCGATTTCTATCACGGTTGCAAAACTTAGCAGAAGTGGCAAAATTCTGATTAAAGAAAAGCACATAAAGTACTTTTGTTCCCACATGGAAGGGTGAATTTCATACAACAGAAATACAGATGAATTTTTGGATGAAACATCTGGAAATATTTTTAATATTGACAGAAAGAGAGGGAAAACAGAGAAATACCGTATTTTTCAGAGTATAAGACACACTCCCCCCTCCTTTAGAGGGTGAAAATTTGGGTGTGTCTTATAGACCGAATATAGCTCCACCCACCCACCGGCCCCCACCCTTTGGCCTCTGCCTCCCAGCAATTTGCCTCCTTGCAGCAAAAAGCAAACCGCTTGTTTCAGTTTCAGCACAGCCTGATTAGCACAAGCAGCTGATTGTTGGTTGGATCGGCTTCCCAACCATCAGCTGTTTCAGGCTGCAGGGATTACCATTGCCTATTGCCGCCTCCGCGCATCCCATTTTCCGCCCATTCTGATCCCTGCCGTCCAAAGCGGGTAGAAAATGGGGTGCACCGAGCAGAAAACAGGGTGTGCAGAGACTGAAAATGGGATGCGGAGACTGAAAATGGGGCATGTGGAGGCGGGAGTAGTCTAAGGCAATCCCTGAAGCCTGAAACCTGATCCTTGAGAGGCCCAGCAATCAACTGCTTGTGCTAATCAGGCTGTGCTGAGACTTAAACAGGCTGCAAGAAAGCAAATTGCTGGGAGGCAGAGGCAGACTTTCTTTTTCTTGTTTTCCTCCCCAAAAGCTAGGTGCGTCTTATACTTCGGAGCGTCTTATACTCCGAAAAAATACAGTAGGATAGCTGAGAAGCACACAGAGAACGGCTCCTTAGACCTACATTGGCGTGTACCAGATGCTGAACCTCTGGAAATAACCTCCATCAAAACCTGGTTCCCAGGTTACATTGACTGCTTGTCGTAGGGGCCACACGGAGATGTTGACCACGGCATGTGGACTGGTACCTGATGTGGGGGGCAGAAAGGGATCTGCATTAGTTTAACTCAAGCGAGTGGAAGGACATCCATAAAGAGATTTAGCCTGCCACACTTTCTATTATGCTACTATGCATTTTCTAGTGTGGGAAAATGGGAGGGAGGATTGTAGATGATACGTAGCCATAACAACATTCTTTCTGGAAAGCCAAGGTCATCCTTCGTCTTTGCACCTCTGCACCTGACTGGAACTGGATGGGTGGAACTGCCATCGTGGCAGTGGGAGATTGGACCATGGGATGGACTTGTGGCTGTGGGGGCAAGAACTTTCAACTGGGTGGGGAAAACAGGAAGCTTTCAGATTCGGGTTTTCCCAGATGTGCCAACATGGCTCTCTTCATAAAT